GGAAGAGTGAGGGGGTCAATAAATTGAAAGATAGCTGATGTTGGGTTTAATAAATCACTAGAGTTAAAACAGCACAGTTTATAGATGAGTGATCCATATTGATAGATGGTGGATGTAAAGACAATGTGGGAGACAGTTCCAAGTATATTTGCCATACTGGTTCAAAAGTTAGTAAGGACCGAGTAGTCTGGTGGCATAGATTTTGAACTGCACTATTTTTTATACAAGCTCCAAACTTTGTATGGTGATCTGTATTCCCATACTGATCAGTTCCTTATATTATAAAGTGAAGCTCAATTTTCTGATTCCAGCTACATAGAACCCTGCTTACAGTCAAAGACTGAAAGAGGGTGGCAAAGGGGGGGGGAGGTACCAATCACGCATCACGCTGAATTTTTCTATTATATCATGCATCAGATAATTTTTTCACCAATTATGTGCCACGTAAAATCAAGTAAGTACATCACCAATTTCACTTTCTCAACCCTAGAAGCATTTATCTTTAAAAGGAGAACTCTGCCGATTCAACCACAGAAATGCATCAGCAAATATTCCAGACATTTTCCCTTGAAAATGACAATTACTAGCCAAAATAAAAGTGGTGACCCGTACGGGTGATTTCACCCATGGTCTCATACACACATCACTTACTTAGTTTTGATATCTGGATGTTATGCCCTGAAATCATACTGCGATAGAGCCCTTACCCTCTTCATTTTTCTGTATGGAAGAAAATGAACTCTTTTTTGTTTGCTTGTTTGATAAATAATTGTCCATTTTTAAAACAAGTGCACTTGCACACAAAACAGCTTAGTACACGAGCTACTCAAGAATTTGCTCTTTGAGACACAAGTAACACTAATGAAGGGGCTATGATGACTATCCCCGAACATCAGACTGTCTTTACGGCATGCATGCGCAGTTTATCATTTGCACACGAGTACAATCCTGCCCAGGTCCTGCCGCATTCTGGCATCAACTACAACCTCCTCCTCTGGGCCTTCTCCTCGACTATTCTCCCTTCCCGCCATTTTGAAAAGTGGAGAAGGCCCTGGGCACGAGGTTGGCATTAACACCGCGCGCATTCCAAAACAAAATAAAAAAAGGCAAGCATAAGTTAACAGATATATTTTTTATGAATTTGTTGAATTCTTCAACCATTTTGTGCTCTCTTCTCTTTACCTATGAGCAAAAGCACATCCACTTCATTTTATTAAAAACACGTCCTTATAAAACGTTGTGCAAGCCGTTTGCGAAGTCATTTAGTCGACGTGTGATCAAGCTATTGCCGTTATTTTTAGATTTTTCCCCTACAGAGCATACATGACATGCAGTACAGTTCTGGTTTCAACTAGACTAAAGGGCATGCAACGACAAAACGGTGTCTAGTGCAGAATCTATTTTGGGGCATTTAAAGGTACTGTTTTTAAACTTTATAAAAAACCGCCACTTTTCGCATCTCTTATAAACCTAACCAAAAATGATCAGTTGTTAGTCCGGTCCAGATTGCAATTCAACCATTCCACTACCAGCTAAGAATAAGTCTTGTATGATCCGTTTTAATCCATAATCAATGTTAATTATATGTAAGTCTCGATCGCTGTTGAAGAACTGGCCCTAGAACTTTTTCATGTACTTTACTAAGGCCAACAGCCAGATTTGAAATTTGTGTCTTCGCGCGTCAAAGTCATAGCACCGAGGCTTCACGCTCTTATCCAAGACGAGGCAAGACGTCATGAGGTGACCTCACTGTCGGTTACCATGGAAGTAGTCATAGCAGCTGCTCACAGTGAAAACATTTCGCAATCGCGTGGAGGACTATCTGTAGCACAGTGCAAAGAGAGCGAGTATTTCGTGTTTATCAAAATCTTAAAGGAAGAATTAAGTGACATGTCGAGCAAAAACATTTTAGGTGTTAAAGAGATTGGGAAAATTGACGGAGTGCGCGTTGGAGATCCTCCCTCCGTTATCAAACATGAGCCACTCGACGCTTCTCA